CGCGTTCGCGTCGCACGCCGCGAGGAGCCGGCGCCGCGCGTGGGCCTCGCGGCCGAACGCGCGGAGCTCCGCGAGGCCCGCGATCGTGTCCGCGAAGCGGCTCACGGCCGGCGACTTCGTCAGCGCCTCCAGGCGCTTGAGCTCCGTCATCGACCGGCCGACGAAGCGCTTGTGGCGCAGGAACGCGTAGGCGAGCGGGAGCGTCACGCTCGTCAGCGGCGGCACGGCGACGCACGCCGCGACGAAGATCGCCTGCGAGAGTAGGGGGGGGACGCTCGCGCGGCGCGCCGTCGCGGAGCATGAAACGACGACGCGCGGGGTCCTCGGATTCGGGGAAAAAATCAGTTTGAACCGTCATCGTGATCCGGAATTCAATACGGAGTGTCGTCATCATCGAGGGGGAAGAACCAGATCGACGGCGCCGGGACGCGCGCCCATCATCAGCCCTAACTGCGCGAGGTCGAAAAGCGCCTGCGCGAGCAGCTCGTCGACGTTGCCGACGTCCGCGCTCAGGCGGTTGAGCACGCGGCCGCGCGGGACCGCGTGGTGCCAGTAGAGCGGCGACCGGAGCACGCCGCGGACCGCGTCCTCGTGGAGCCGGTTCGACGCGATGATCGTCCGGCAGAAGAAGGCGACGGCGCGCAGGAGCGCGACGACGACCGTCGCGGCGGCTATGCAGCCGTAGGTGACCATCGGCTTCGCCCTCCGCTGGTCGTCGCCGTTGGCCCACTCCAAGAGGTAGTAGTCGGAGTAGACGAGCAACGCTTGCCCGACGACGAAGAGGAGGAGCACGGCGACGACGGAGAGGGCGCCGGCGCGGCGCGCGTACGCCAGCCACGTCCCGAAAACCACGCCGCCCGTCTCGCGGTCCTCGGCGTCGACGCGCCGGCCGTCGCCGAGGCCGTCGACGCCGCGGCCGTCGACGCCGAGGACCGCGAGACGGGCGGCGTGGTTTTCGGGACGTGGCTGGCGTACGCGCGCCGCGCCGGCGCCCTCTCCGTCGTCGCCGTGCTCCTCCTCTTCGTCGTCGGGCAAGCGTTGCTCGTCTACTCCGACTACTACCTCTTGGAGTGGGCCAACGGCGACGACCAGCGGAGGGCGAAGCCGATGGTCACCTACGGCTGCATAGCCGCCGCGACGGTCGTCGTCGCGCTCCTGCGCGCCGTCGCCTTCTTCTGCCGGACGATCATCGCGTCGAACCGGCTCCACGAGGACGCGGTCCGCGGCGTGCTCCGGTCGCCGCTCTACTGGCACCACGCGGTCCCGCGCGGCCGCGTGCTCAACCGCCTGAGCGCGGACGTCGGCAACGTCGACGAGCTGCTCGCGCAGGCGCTTTTCGACCTCGCGCAGTTAGGGCTGATGATGGGCGCGCGTCCCGGCGCCGTCGATCTGGTTCTTCCCCCTCGATGATGACGACACTCCGTATTGAATTCCGGATCACGATGACGGTTCAAACTGATTTTTTCCCCGAATCCGAGGACCCCGCGCGTCGTCGTTTCATGCTCCGCGACGGCGCGCCGCGCGAGCGTCCCCCCCCTACTCTCGCAGGCGATCTTCGTCGCGGCGTGCGTCGCCGTGCCGCCGCTGACGAGCGTGACGCTCCCGCTCGCCTACGCGTTCCTGCGCCACAAGCGCTTCGTCGGCCGGTCGATGACGGAGCTCAAGCGCCTGGAGGCGCTGACGAAGTCGCCGGCCGTGAGCCGCTTCGCGGACACGATCGCGGGCCTCGCGGAGCTCCGCGCGTTCGGCCGCGAGGCCCACGCGCGGCGCCGGCTCCTCGCGGCGTGCGACGCGAACGCGCGCGCGTGGTACGGCTGGCTCCTGTCGCAGCGTTACCTCGGGTTCTGGCTCGACTTCATGTGCGTCGCGTTCCTCGCATGCCTCGTCGCGCTCGCGGCGCTGTTACGTGCAGATTATCCGCGACCGCTCCTCGCGCTGGGCCTCCTCTACGCGGTGCAGCTCGCGGGGTCGTTCCAGTGGACCGTGCGCCAGTACGCGCTCGCCGAGTCGTTCATGTCGTCCTGCGAGCGGCTCCTGCACTACGACGCGCTCCCGGGCGAGGACGAGCGGTCCGCGGACGCGGCGCTCGCAGCCTGGGCACCAGCATCAGGGACCATCACACTCGAGGACGTGCGGTGCCGCTACCGGCCCGGGTCGCCGGACGTCGTCCTCGGCGTCTCGGCGACGCTCGCGAGCGGGTCGAACGTGGGCATCGTCGGGCGCACGGGCTCCGGCAAGTCGAGCCTGCTGCTCTCGCTGAACCGGCTGAACCTCGTCTCCGGCGGCGCCGTCCGCATCGACGGCGTCGACGCGTCGACGCTGCCGCTCGCCGCGCTGCGCCGGGCCGTGGCCTTGATCCCCCAGGAGCCGTTCCTCTTCCAGGGCACGCGGCGCTACAACCTGGACCCCTTCGGCCTCCGCGACGACGCGACGCTCGCCGGGACGCTCGCGACCCTGGGCATGGGCGGCGCGGGCCTCGACGACCGGGTCC